GCTCCCCCTGCCATATTGAGATGATCCTTACTGAAAAAGAACAAATTGTTCCTAAACCAGAGGAGGAAGTTGCACAGAAGAAAAAGATATCCCAGAAGAAACTAAAGAAACAAAAACTTATGGCACGGGAATAAATTAAGCATAAAATAAATGCAAATAAAAGTAATGTTTGCCATTATTAGTAAACATTTTAGATGTCCTAATAAGATGGATCAACTGGGTTTAAAAAAAAAAAAAAGAAATTGCTTTGATTTTTCATAGATATATTTATTAAATTTATATGACTCGAGTTATTTTCTTCTCCTTTAAAATCCTAATATTGTGTGTTACTTAAATTGATTTTCTCATGGTGGACTCCTTTATTCCCAGAACAAAGCCCATTTTGTCATGATCTAGTTATATGTGTATATTGCTGAGTTTGCAGATTTAATCATAGCATTTTTATATGTGATATTGGTCTGTAATTTCCCCTATAAGTACTGCCCTTTTTACTGTTTTATTATTAAGATTATACTACACTTATAGAATCAGATGGGCCACTGTCGTATCTTTCTGTCTCGGGCAAATTGTTTGAGAGAATAGCAGTCAGGGTGCTTGTGGCAGTAAGCTGCTTACCCCCCAGTGAAAAATCCTGCTCAGTGATCTTCAGCAGAGAAGGAGAAACATGGATGGGGCACAAGGGCAGTTGAGATCGGAAAGCCTCAAGTACTGACTTGATTTCTATAATGGTTACATGGTTTTTTCAGGTTTTTTTTTTTTCTTAAGCTGATTTTGCTACTCTATTCTATTTGGCATTCCTAGAAAAAATATAAGCAGTAGTTATGTTCTTTTGACATATAAATGCGAGTCAGATAGTGCACCTTTTGTAATTTTATGGGCCACATGAACCCATGTGCCATTGCCTTAGGCAGCTCAGATTGCTATCACAGACATGAACTACTGTTCCTAATAAACTACCCAGCCCCTGGTATTCTCACCGTTTCGGAGGCTGCAAAGTCCAAGATCATGGTGCCAGGAGCCATCTACTGAGCACCTGTGTACTAGATCGCAGTGTTTTCAGGTGGTGGCTGTCGTAGTCATTGTCCTGCACACAGTACCCAGCGCCACAGTGTAAAGTAGGAGAGGTTGACTTCGGCTTACAATTTGAGTCCGCAGCTGGCTCCAAGACAGACATGGCACCGTGGGAGAGTCTAACAGGGAGAAGCTACTCACATCACAGCAGCCAGGAAGCAGAGGGAAGGGAGAAAGCTGAGACAAGAAGACAGCCTTCCAGGTTGCCTCAGTGACCCGCCTCCAACTAGGTCCCACCTGCTAACGGCCAATTAGCTGTACAGCCTTATAATCCAATCATTTATGAAAGCCCCACCTCTGAACACATGAGAATTCGGGGCAATTCTAGATCTAAACGATAACAGTGGGAAAAACAAGCTAGCTCTCTGGGGCCTCTTTCATAATGGGAGGCACTAATCCCGCTCC